GCCTTGTGAATAAGACTGTGCAGCCATTTTGCTCGTACTGCGGAATCCGATACCCGATAAATTCAATAGAAGAAGCCTCGGTCGTTTCACGCCTTACCGCCTCCTGACACTTCCTAAAAGAAAACATTGCTGAAATTGTATTTTTTTCGTAAAGTACATTTATTCAGCTTTCTTATGATATATAGTTTGTTGGGGTTTTATTGAAACTGGCGCGCGTACGATTTTTTTCCGGAGTGGCACCTGCGAAGGTGGGAAGTAACCTTAAGAGAACTGCGGCGTCATAATAATCATTTGACCCTTTAATTTCGTTTTCGTCACGAAGTTGGGAATGATAAGCAGCATGGGCTTCTTTGAACTCTTGTAAGACTTGTTTGAATTCTTCGATTCTGTCCTTTACTAGATTGTAGTTGTTAGAATTCAGCATTAACACTTTTATTTCGTTTTGGGCCTTAGTAAGAATTCCCTTCTTAGAACTTCTGCTCCTTTTGAGCTGTAGGAGCTTTTCGGGTCGACTCCGTCCCAGTCGAGAGTAACATTTTCTAGCTTGACTCTAGAGATAGTCGGAGGTGACTCATGTTCACTATCTTTGTTTTGTTCGCTTTCTTTGTCGGCCATAACCGGTGTAGGATTTCCACGCGCGTGTTGTGGAACGTGATAGCTTAGTGCATAACTTGGAGTAAACAGCACGTGTTGCAACTGTTACGTTAGCTAGCGCAGCTAAAGTCTTCGTAAAGGTAGAAAATCCAAAGATAAATGATGAACAACGAGAAACTTTGCGTCAAATTCGAACTGATGAGACTTTCCAGGAGCGAAGCCACGTGTAGATTAGGGCTTAACAGGAGCTTGAAACACCCGAACGCACCTTGTAATTCCAAAGAAATCAGGTCACAGTAAAATCAATGTTACGGCGTTTACTGGAAGGGAGCGATGAATCAACAATATAGGAATCACGATAACAAAATAGAGATGTGCTTGTGTTGTGAAGTCGTAGTTACGATTGTGGTCGTGATTGCGCGGTTCGAACTAAAAGCAAAACGATACAATACTAGCTAAGTTACAAAACATAAATCAAGGATACTGATGGAACATAGATCTTAAACTATAACGACACGATTACGACTAAAGATGTGTAGACTTACTTTATCTTGCTCCTGCGAAGGTAGCAATTAAAGAAACGATAGCTTAGAACGATAGCGATGACGGCGATAGCATAAAATAGCAGAACGTAGATGGCGTAACTAAACTGATAAAAATGTGGTGTCTCTAATTACATGATTCCAAAGGTTATATTACGAAACTTGCATAGATCACAGCAATCACAGCATGAATAGCAAAAACTTCAAAAATGTACAAAATCGTTAATAAGTAACATTATGTTAACAAAAAAGGAAGAAAACGAGTTACGAAAGTAACACAGGTTTCCCTTTGTAATATTAAGTTAGAAACTTTATCGCGATTTAAAGAATAGCAGCTACCCTATGCTAGAGCAATCCAATAAACCATTTCTGATATATTAAAATTCTTTGTAACTTGGCTGCGANAAAAAAAAAAAAAAAGAAAAAGAAATCACATCGAGGTTGGGGATTAATAATTAAGAAATGGTAAGCGTGGAACGTGCAGCTTTCGAGTTATGGATGCACGCAGGAGTTTGCGAAGCACGAAAGAAGCGTAAGGGTCGACTCTAGCTTCTTGAGTGCTTAGCAAACCTCTTAAGTGCGTCCATAAGTCGATAGTTGCACGCTGCGCGCTTACCATTTCTTTTATAACATTGAGACTTTTAACAT